AAATAAATTCTGTCCTGACATTTCTGCCACATCTATGGCAGGCATCCTCAGAGGTTGAGAGGTCTGTTGGAAACAAAGCAAGTGAGGTTTATATATTTGTGGAATGTCCAGGGTGGGAGAAAAAAAGTCTTATTCCTATTGGCCACCTTGATTGGCATTGAATGGCTGTGCAGCTTCAAAGACTGGCTGCTTCCTGCTTGGGGGAATCCTTTGTTTGTAGATGTTAACTGGCTTTGATTGTTTCATGTGTTTTGTGTGTTGCTCTTTATTTACAGTCTTGATTTTAGTTTTTTAAATACTGGTAGCCAGATTTTGTTCATTTTTATGGTTTCCTCCTTGATGTTGAAGTTGTCCACAGCCTCTGAGGATGCCTGCCATAGATGTAGGCGAAAAGGCAGGAGAGAATGCTTCTTGAATATGTCCATACATGTTCTCCTCAGAACATGTTGCTGACATGTACTCCTCAGAAGCATCTCTTCAACCAGTGCACTGGACTGGACAGGACTTTGGTCTGACCCAAAGCGGGTCTCTTTTTTTTTACATCTACTCAAAAGGTTCCCATGGCTGCAGTCTGAAGGGTGGTTATAGCCCCAGTAGAAACCACTCAGTCCCCACACCATTTTCTCAATGTAAATCTCTCCACCAATTATAACTTGGTAACTGAGGAGCCCATGGTGGCGCAGTGGGTTAAAGCACTGAGCTGCTGAATTTGCTAACCGAAAGGTTGCAGTTTCAAATCCAGGGAGCGGCATGAGCTCCCATTGTTAGCCCCTGCTTCTGCCAACCTAGCAGTTTGAAAACATGCAAATGTAAGTAGATCAATAGGTACCGCTTCTGCAGGAAGGTAACAGTGCTCCATCCAGTCATGCGGACCACATGACTTTGGAGGTTCTATGGACAATGCCAGCTCTTCGGCTTAGAAATTGAGATTAACACCAATCCCCCAGAGTCGGACACGACTGGACTTAATGTCAGGAGAAAACCTTTGTTTATACAAACTGGGAAGATTCAAAATGAAGTATAAGGAGCAGAATTGGTTCCCCCCCCCCCCCATGAATGGAACCTATATTAAGGCCCCTTCTGCATGGCCATATAAAATCCAGATTATCTGCCTTAAACTGGATTATATGGCAGTGTAGACTCATATAATCCAGTTCATGTGAATTATCTGCATTGATAATCTGGATTATATGGTGGTATATGTATAACTGTATAAATATGTTTGGCGGTATATGTATAAATCTGTAAATGCTGAATTCCTACGTTGCCAGTCGTTTGTAAGCCACTTTGTGTCCCATATTGGAAGACGGCCAGGTTAATCAACATAGATATTGGTTTAACTATGGGCCATGAGCATTAGACATGACTTAGGAAAAAAATAGTACCTGCTCAGTAATTAATTTATAACAAAGCATGTTGTTTCAGCACGTATCATTAATAGATAAATGACAAGAAAAGGGGCATCCATGTGTTCCTGATTTGCATACTTGCAGACTTTGCATTTTACTGCTTATTAATGACCATAAGACATTTTACTGCCAGTCCTGCTATCTGTCACAAGTAGAGCTCGGCTTCACAGAAACTGGAGACCAAAAGGAGAGACACTATTCCTGGGGAAAGATCCAACCTCCATTACTGGATATCTTAACAGAAGCTGAAAAATATTATTATAGAACATTTGACTGTTCAATCTACAGTGTCAAGAACCTTTATTGCTCTTTCGAATGAAGTCCATCTTTTAGCAATGATGCACCAATTCATTTTTGAGACTCTGCAAAAGCCAACACTTAGCTGTTGGGGAAAAGGCCATTAGGCGGATGTTTATTTTTACCAATAGTCACTGTTGGTCAAACTTTATATGATAACTGAAAATACGCTTATCCGGGAACAATGTCCATCTAATCGCATGCAGATTGTCATCCTAGATAAGTGTTCCTAGAAGTTGAAAAAAAGTTTTCCCTTGATCACTGATTCAAGTATGCGAAGTAGCAATGACACGTTTGTGACCCAGCATTTGTTCTCAGATGCAGCTCAGCTTGTTCTGCAAGGTAAGACTTGCCTCTATTACTGTCATGTCGTACTGTGTTTTCACATATTTAGTGAACAGAGATCTATGAGCCTGAGATTCAGGTTTCTAAAGCAATGAAAAGATTGTGATTGAAATACCAAAGCATATCTTCCACCATGAACCAATGGAGCACCTGTGGTGCAATGGGTTAAACCTTTTTGCCAGCAGGACTGCTGACTGAAAGGTTGGCGATGGGAGTGGGGAGCGGAGCTCCCATGGGAGCGGGGTGAGCTCCCATTTGTCAGCTCCAGCTTCTCATGCAGGGACATGAGAGAAGCCTCCCACAGGATGGTAAAACACCCTGGCGTCTCCTTGGCAATGTCCTTGCAGACAACCAGTTCTCTCAAACAGAAGCAACTTGCAATTTCTCAAGTCACTCCTGACACAGAAAAACAAAACAAAACCATGAACCAATACTAAGACTACCAATGTGGGTTCGGCAACTTTTCTGATTGCCAAGGGCATCTGTCGTCGTCATCGTCGTCATCATCATATCTGATATCCATTTCCATCAGAAATGATTCAGGTCTGCATGGAACAATGTTTTGTTTGTATTGTTTGGTTTGCTCTCCAGTATTGCCTATACTTTAAGATAAAAATATTTCTCAAGTATAATTAGTGTGTTGTTTCCAAGGAGACGTTGGCAAATATTTTTTCTGCTTCCACTTTTGTCCGGTAATCAGATTTATAACAGAACGATAGCATTGTAACTATTTTGACGCACCTTTTGGATTCTCCCTTTCAAGTAAGATGGACAGATGCCTAATTTTCAGCTTTCTATAATTATCAGGGTGCCTTAGCTTTTGTGTACAAAACTTCCCAAGTATCCAGTTTCTTGGTATGTGTTTTCATTATTTTTATATTTTCATAAGCGAGTCTGGGCCTTAACACAGTGACTATCCAGCCTCAAAACAGTATTATGGAAACAAGAGAGTTAGAACACGGGGGATATCTAGTCCAACCCTAGAATACACAATCAAAGGACTCCCAGTAGATGGTAATTCAGCCTGTACTTTAAAACCTCCAGAGAACGAACTCCAGCACACTCCAAGGAAATATATTCCACTGTCAAACAGCTCTTACTGTCGGGATGCTCTTCCTAATTTTTACGTGGGATCTCTTTTCCTGAAGTTTGAATCCATTGCTCCAAATCCAAGTCTTTGGAGCAGCAGAAAACTTGGTTGCTCTATCTTCAGTATACTATCCCTTGATTTTTTTTCTTCGCATGGCTATCATGTCATCTCTTCCTCAGTCTAAACATACACTGTCCCTAAGCTACTCTTCGTATGACATGGCTTTCAGGCCTTTGATCATTTTGGTTGCCCAGCTCTGGACACATTTTAGCTTATTAATACCTTTCTTGAATTGAACACAGTATTCCAAGTCAAATCTGACCAAAGCAGAATAGAGTGGCACTCATGCATCCTTCAGTCTAGATCAGGCATGGGCAAACTCTGGCCCTCTAGGTGTTTTGGGCTTCTCAATGTAAGTCTCTCCACAAACCGGCTGTTAGGAATTGTGGAAATTGAAGTCCAAACACCTGGAGGGTTGAAATTTGCCCATGCCTGATCTAGGCTCTATACTCCTATTGATGCAGTTTTTAATTGCGTTGACTTTTTTTAGCAGCTGAATCACCGTGTTAACTCATATTCAGCTTGAGGTCTACCAAAACTCCTAAATTCCCTTCACATGTACTGTTTTCAGGCCAGGTATAACCCATGAAATAGATAAATATACGCACATTTCATTTTTCTATCTAAGTGTATCTTGCATTTCTCCCTGTTGAAATTGATTTGGTTTGTTTTAGTCCATCTCAATGCTCTGTTAAAGTCATTTAAAATTATAATCTTGCCCTGTAATTTGGTGTCATCTGAAATTTTATAAGCATGTTTTCTATTCCATCATCCAGGTCGCTGATGAATGTCATTATTTGGGGGGGGGGGTATTAACTATTTTAATTATATTGTTTATTGTTAATTTTTTTAATTACTTTGTGAATTCTTGTTGATGCTGGGCTTAGTCCCCATGTAAGCCGCCTCGAGTCCCTTTGGGGAAGATGGTGGCGGGATATAATAGCTATTACTATTATTTGAAACACAAGATGAGTCCACAGCAAACAAAACCACTCTGCTGACTGTTGTATTGGATCACATGTCTGACACTTCCCAAGTGTCTAGGACTGTGTGATTTATCGCGATTAATGCATGCAGATCCCAGTAAGGTGGCCTTCTGCAGCTGACAGATGGCAGTTTTGTCAGCGCCAATTGTGTTTAAGTGCAGGCCAAGGGCTTTAGGCACTGCACCCAGTGTGCTGATCACCACTGGGACCACCTTAACTGGCTTGTGCCAGAGTCTTTGCAGTTCGATCTTTAAATCTTCCTATCGTGTCAGCTTTTCCAATTGTTTCTCTTCAATCCTGCTGTCGCCTGGGATTGCAACAACAACAATCCATACTTTGTAACTATTTTGACACACCTTTTGGATTCTCCCTTTCAAATAAGATGGACAGATGCCTAATTTTCGGCTTTCTATTGTTATTGTTATTGTTGTTGTTATTATTATTATTATTATTTTAATAGCATTGGGCCCACTGTGACACCCCACTGCCCACATCTCTTTAGGATGAAGAGGAGCCATTGGTCATCTCCCCTTGGCTTTGGCCAGTCACCCAGTTCCAAATCCACCTAACAGTAGTATTGTTTAGCCCACAACTTACTATCTTGTTTGCAACAATACAGGATATTTCAAAAAGATAGACCGAATGTCAGATTTATATATCTCTGCAACCACAAACCCCACCATGAATGGAACTCAAACAGAGAGTGCGTGCTGTGGTAACCTTAGAGTGGTTGTATTTTATGTTCGTTGGTTGTGGTTTATCACCATGAGGTTGAAAAAGTCTAGCTCAAAGAGGCTCACCGTTATACAAATGTTGGGAGGTATTTACAAAGTTTTTATTACAAGAATAATGCAAGGAAGCATTCATACACAACACTGAAGGAAGACTGTACATGAATGTGACAAATATGATGCCACTTCAAGGAAAGGATGTCTCAAAATCCAGTTAACTAACACTGATGCAAGGATCATAACGAGGAAACACAGAAGAGGCTGACAGCTTCACGATGCTGCAACCCCGCCTGTCCCGGCCCCATGCGGAGGCAGTGTCATCGGAGGCAAGAACATAGATTTTAGCTTTCCAGACATGCTTGCAATCTCAGGGTCCTGGGTCTCATAAGATTTTATCAAGCGGGCAAACTTTAGGACTCCTAAAAAAAAGAAAGAAAGGTAAATAGCACAAAAACACTTATTTCACCATGACATTGCTGATTTTCTTCCAATTCTCAGATTGCATGATCTAAAAGGAAGGAAAGTCTCCTTCAATTTACTTGAAGAAGGGGCTTCTTCCATTGGCCATCAGAGAATCCTAGAATTGGAAGAGACCCCACAAGGGTCATCCAGTACAACTTCATTCTGCCATGCAGGGAAAGCACAATCAAAGCACTTCTGACAGATGGCCATCCAGTCTCTGCTTATAACATCTAGATAACCATGCCCCAAGGCTGCTTATTCCACTGCTGAACAGCCCTTACCTTCCTAATGTTTAGCTGGAATCTCTTTTCTTGCAACTTGAATCCATTGCTCCGTGTCCTGGTCTCTGGAGCAGCAGAGACCAAGCTTGCCACCTCCTCAATGTCACATCTTTTCAAATATTTAAACATGGGTTGCTGTGAGTTTTCTGGGCTTTCATGGCCAGTGATTCCAACCATGAAAGCCTTCGACAACATATTTAAACATGACTATCATGTCCACACAAGTGAGGTGTCCCCCATCCTGTATCACTTCATTTCATTTTATTGCCATACATTTCTCCTTGTTAAAATGCATTATTTTAGCCTTGACCCACCTTTCTAATCTGTTATGGTCCATTTGGATTCTGATCCTGTCCCGTATTAGCTATCTTTCCCAAACTGGGGCCATTTGCTGATTGGATAACCATGCCTTCTATACCATCATCTAAGTCAGTGGTTCTCAACCTGGGGCTTCCCCAGATATTTCTGGCCTTCAACTCCCAGAAATCCTAACAGCTGATAAATTGGCTGGGATTTCTGGGAGTTGTAGGCCAAAAACATCTGTGGACCCCAGGTTGAGAACAACTGATCAAAGTCATTAGGAGCTGCAGTGACACAATGGGTTAATAAACCCTTGTGCTGGCTGAACTGCTGTCCTGAAGGTCGGCGGTTCAAATCCGTGAGATGGGGTGAGCTCCCATCTGTCTGCCCCAGCTTCCCATGTGGGGACGTGAGAGAAGCCTCCCACAGGATGGTAATACATCTGGGCATCCCCTGGGCAATGTCCTCGCACACAGACAATTCTCTCACACAAGAAGTGACTTGCAGTTTCTCAAGTTGCTATAAATAAAGTAAATAAATAAATAAAGATGTGGAATAGCTCTGGGCCCAGGACAGATTCCTGAGGCACCCCACTGGCTACTTCTCTCTAGGCTGAGGAGGAGCCATTACTAAGCAGCCTTTGGGTTCAACCAGTTAACCAATTTCAAATCCACCTAACCCATATTTTATTAACTTCTTTGTGAGAATATAGTGGGGGGGACTTCATCGAGGGCCTTACTAAAACTGAAATATGCATAGCATTCCCTTCAGCTACGAAGTGTTTAACTCTACTTAAAAAAGAGATATGGTTTGTCTGCCATGGCTTATTTGTGAGGAACCCATGTTGACTCTTAGTGAGTATCATTTGGGTTCCAAATAACTCAGCACTTTGAACCGACCTTCTCCATCATTGCTGAAACCGTAGGCTTTGATCACATCTTGTTGGATCTGAGTGGCCACAGGCAGCAAGAACTGCAGCATCTTGCCCATGTCGTTGCAGGCGTTGTCCCTTGCTTCCTCCATGCGCTGGGCATTTTCTGGTGAAGCAAATGCCTTGATGACTTCAGCCAGAACCACTAAGGAAGAGAGCAGAAAGGTCATGAATCTGTTCCCACAGGAATCCCCAAACCTGTCAACTTGAGCAAATGAGAAAAGTGATGGTGGTCAGGTACCATATTTGTCTGGGCAAGACTACCAAGCATTAAATGCATTTAACAACCTAAAAACAGAGTTTCTTTGGAGGCAAGATCCTCCACTGATGTATGTATTAATATTTTGTTTTCACTGTAGAACTTCTTCACCCACAGCCTACAGCAGTGGTTCCCAACTTTTTTTGACCAGGGACCACTCCCCAACATTAGTACCAAAAGGATACAAATCTGTTTTTGGTCACCTTTAGATTCAGTTTGGTTATTTGGGGTGCCAATTCAGAAAACTGCATTGGCTAGACCACATCAGCTCTAGTTTCTGATACAGAATATATGTCATCCAGGAGTCGCCATCTGCTTGCCCCCAGAAAACCATATATAATAAGCCTTGGTTTTGTGAGACCAGTCGCTCTCATTGCAACATTATAGTAACAGTGAGGCTGCGGACCACAAGTTAGTTGGGAACCACTGGTCTACTACCATTTGTTTTTCCTAAATATATAAGTTGGACCAGAATTAAAGCAGAATGCTAATCAGAGCTGGAAAAAGGCTAGAGAAGTGCACCCATCGCAGTCCTAAATAACATGTACCTTTGCAAAAGTATATGAAAAGCTTGGCCTCTCACTGCACATTGAGAAAACCAAAGTGCTCTTCCTGCAGGCATCAGGCAATCCCTCTGCAATGCCAGAAATACAGCTTAATAATGTAATACTAGAAAATCATAACCTAGGCAGTCACCTCTCCACAAAAGTTGACATCCTCACTGAAATACAACACCGTCAGAGCTGTATGAGTGCAGCATTTTTTTCAAACAAAGCAGAGAATGTTTGAAGAGTTGGACATTTCTAGGGAGACCAAGGTACTTATTTATAAAGCTATTGTCCTCCCAGCCCTGTTATATGCCTACACATGTCACTCTCAACTTCTGGAAGAATTTCATCAGCACTGCCTCTGAAAAAATCATGCAAATCATTTGGGAAGATAGATGGACAAATGTCAGTGTTGTAGAAGAAGCAAAGACCACATGCAGATGCAATGATCCTTTGCCATCAACTTCGCTGGACTGGCTAGATTATCCGAATGCCTAATCACCGACTCCCAAAGCAGTGACTTTACACTCAGCAAAAGAACAGAAAACAGAGTGTTGGTGGACAGGAAAAGAGATTTAAAGATGGGCTTAAGGCCAACCTTAAAAACTGGCATAGACAATGAAAACTGGGAAGCCCTGGCCTTTGAGTGTCTAACTGGAGACAGGTGTGGATTTTGAAGAATTTTTTTTTTTGAATTTTGCTATACTTGTATACCGCTGTTTCTCAGCCTAGCCGGCGACTCAACGCGGTTTACAACAAAATACAACAATCAACAGTATACAATTTAAAACCATAAAAGCATAATACACAATATTCGCACATCAATAACAATCCAATGCATCTCC